AAAAAGGAATACTTTCTTTGCAATCAATTCTTGTCTCCAGGATAATTATGTAATCCTTAGGAGATGGGGAAGTCTGAAAAGACTCTGAACGAAAACCTTCCCATATCTCTAGGTTTACAAGAGTACCACTGAAAGAACATGTATAAAGCAAAGGAGAAAACTGAGAAAAGCAGATTGAATTTCCATCAAGAATCCAAAGATTTTAGTACTATCAGCAGACTCAGATAAAACTCTATACATAAGCACTTCTCTGTCTTGCAAGAGTATATAATAGAAAAAAGGAGCAGCAGATTTTGTTATAATTGTCAGTTCTATTCAGATAAGCATATAGTGGTACTGTTCCCTCACATGAAGCATTTTCTGCAATTTATAAGGCCATTCGGAAATGTGAGCAAGCTGGCAGTTTATTACCAGCTGCATTTCACATAGTAGAGATGGTGCAAGTGATTTCCATCTAGAATTAGAATGAAGTCTCCCACTGCCAATAACCACATGGTCTAGTAGGTCGAATACAAAAGTTAGGTTAGAAGAGACTTCAGAATCTCCTACATCATCCAGTAATTTTTATACAACATGCTGGGGTCATAACTACAGTTAAGACGTTTCAGTGTTCCGCATACTCTTCCTATGCTCTAAATTAGTTCTCAATGAAAAGTAATGCAATTTCCTAAAGTACTGGGTACAGCAGTGTCCAGCAACATCTCTGCACAGGAATTACTACTTGTTGGCAATGTTAAATAAGCATTAATATTTGTAGTCCTCAATTATTACACCTTAATACAACCAGTGAGTTTGTAATAAACAACCAGAACAGCAGACATCATGGAGGAAATTAGCTTGAGTCTGAGCCTTTGGACAGTTAGAAAAGACTGTATGCAAAGCTAATCTGGTTCATTGGAAATTCTGGGCCAATTTAAAGCCTGAGATGTTTCTTTCTTACTAAATGGGTTATCTATTCCTCTCAGCCTTTTACCTTTTACCTATTTGATGACAAAATTAGAAACCACTGTGTGAAAATTCAACCACATGAATGGAAGTATTCTTCAGATGGATCAAAGGAATATTATAGCAGCTTTTCCTTTGAGCAGTGAGAAGCACCTGGAAGCAGCTTACAGTTATGCCAGTTCCCATGTCGCTTGTTAAGGATAAGATGGCACTAAAAGTAGGTCACAAATATACCACTTCACTTTGTGAGAACTGAGCCCTAAACAATTAAAATAGAGATGCTGGAATAACTAGTGTGTGAAGAAGAAATGAAAAAGGTTAAATATTTGATGGAGTGGTGTCAAAGCATCCCATTAGTATTTTGCCCCCACTTCATGGCTTTTCTGAGAAAACTTGTAAGCTCAGCAGCAGCACTTCAGTAGCACCATGTGAATACATAAAAACATTCTAGTGAAAATTGTGGCCAGAAAATCTGCATGAGACTGAGAGCAGGACATAAGTGAAAGAGAGGTTTTAAGTATTTAGAATTCGATTCCTCAAGAATGAGATATTTTTTTTAGTTTTCAAGACTTAAGCTAATAACCTAAACTTCAAGCTCCCTCAACTTCCAGGTAGTATCCACTCACACCCCAGAGCATTCACTAAATGTCTAACTACTAAATGGACTAAATGTCCAACAACTGCTAACTTTTACAGCCTGAGCTATCCACACCTTAGCAAGGGAGCTTAGATTTAAGAGTTGTTGCTGCTTAAGTGTATTAATATAGCCAAAGACAGTCTGGGAGCAAAGTGTCCCAATCCTGCAAACAGATTATAACACTCCAGGAACTCATTTGAATCAGAAGTCACACTTTTAAGCTGTGGGTTTTTTTTCACCTCATATCTATAGGTCAGTGTAGGAAAATAACAGGTCTACTATTAACTGGACTTTATGGAGCGGGAATACAGATGACTTTTGGCAGCCCTCATTCCTGTGCCAGAAGGTGGTGGCTCTGTCCTCCACACCAGGCTTTGGGACATAGCCAAAACTAACATTTTGATCTATTACACGCTATTCTTTGGATAAGATGCTATAGATTTGGGTTCATTGCTACAGATTTCACTAAACATTTTGAAAACAGATGGGGATAACCAATGCTTTCTGGCCAGCATATCCTCTATCACACAACACGACTGCAATATACCTTCTGTCAACAGAAATAGGATGTCAACGCTGAAATCTATTTTACCAGCCACTACTGGTCATATCATAACCGCCATTCACATGACAGTCTCTTATCACTGTTGCCCTAACTTTACAAATGGATTCCCTCAAGAGATACACGTATGATTTCAAACTTCATTATAAACTATAGAGTAAGCAGAGTCCTTATTCTCTCCTTTGAACTACCTGCCATCTCATTCTGAGCCAAGGCAAGTAGTCAGCATGTTAGCTGCTTAACTTAAAGTAACTGAGAAAGCAGCCTAATCTGTTTCCAGTGAAACTTCACAAAGCTTGGCAGTAGTATTTTTTATATATTACTTTTAGAATCATAAAATACTAATAACACTTTTCAAATGGCATAGAAATAGCTATGACAAACCAAAATCAATTATCATGCAACCAAATGCTTTGCTGACCAGTAAACTTACTTTGTGGTTTCTTTTTATGCTCCACAACAAGGAGTTTCGGACTGACCTAAGCTAGAAATATCTTTCAGCAACACAATAATTTGGATTCTTTTCAATTAAATATTATAGAATCATTTTCTCACTTTACCTAGCTATACTGAAAACAGAGGCACAAGAAAATGCTCTAAACATGACTTTCATGTTTGATATTTCTATTTCTACATTTCTAGTTTAAAGTAAAAAATACCCCAAACCAAATAAAACATTCTTTAAAAAGAACAAAGTACTCATCTTCCTGATGGCATACAAGATGTCTCCTCTTTCTCAGTTCTTGAAAATTACTTTTTCACAGCAGGAGAGAGATATCACAAAATATGAAGCATGAAAGAAAGGGAGAAGAAAATGACATCATAAGCAAAACGTCTACACGATTTTGCTGGGAATAATGGACCCAATACACCAAGTAGCATTTGAGAAGCCGGAGTTCAAACTACCTTCTTTTTAACAGGCATTCAAACAAAACAGTATTTTCACAACTGGAAAGTATGCAGTTTGTTCTACGTTTCTTTCCATGTGTTTCTGTGCCTCCTCTCTAGAGAGAAGTCTAAAACTGAGATTCAGTATAAAACGATACGTGGAACACCATGAAAAAGAATCAACTCCTTGCCAACATCAATAGAATGAACACTTTTTCAGACCAATAAAAGTGATATTTGTGTAGGTTGTTATGTTATTTAGATACCTTAGGGCCTCATTGTGCAGTTAACTGGATTTAAGGGAGTGCCACAAAGTATAGGTGGTATCTGTCAATAATAACTGTTGATAAAAGTAGGGAGATGTTTTACAAGTAAAAATACAGACCGGATATTCCAGGAATGTTTATTTTTCTACTGAGAATATAAAAATATTTATGTACTTTTATACCTCTGTAGCAGATGTTGTATCATTTCTGATTAAAATTGCTTGCCAATAATAGGTTTCTCTCAGGCACAAATTAAAATCAGCTTCTACAGCTAATTCCACAAACTACAAATTTCCACTGCATTTGCAAAATATGCTTCCATATTTTCTGATACAAATAGGTAGACAGATACAAATAGGACATCAAGAACTGAAAGCCAGAAGACACAAGTATTCTGAATATTTTCTGAGAGCTCATTCATTTACAGACCCCACTACCTGTGGATAATTTATGTTTGCTCATTCCAGTGACTCACTAACCTCAATAAAGAGACTCATGGGTTTGATAGATGGGATAAGGCAAAAAGAACAAGCTTCCTGAGCACACCAGATGAAAAATTTATAATTTTAATATCTTTATATTTCCATATTCTATTATATGTTCATCAGAATCTGAAGCACGGAATAGCAGTTACTTTTTTTCTTTTCTGCCTCCAGGTATATACCAAGGCATCAAGCTGATAGGTTGGTTCATAGAACACCAGCTCCCTTATCACTCCAGATAATTTATTTATGATAAGAATCATGTGTTTTCCCAGTAAGATGTTGACGCAATATGACTGCCTTTTCAGTTTCTTTTCATTTTTAAATGAATACAAATATCGATAAAACATCGTTCCTGACATGAGAGCAAATGTGCCATACAAGGAGGGGTTTCACTGATTAATCCTAGGAACAAAATAACACATTATCTGATTTACAACCCAATGAAATATTTCCTCAATATTTAAGGTATGAATTGCTCAGCAGTTCAGACCTTTCACTTCCACATTAATTAGCCTATTCAGAATTACCTGGAAGTCCTTTACTGTGTTAAAGAGTGCTGTTTACTTGGCTTAGCTCCTGAAGAAAGGGCACAGAGGCTGTACTTGGAACTTAAGTTTACAGAAATGCACAGACACATCAACTCCACGCATTAAACTGTAACATATAAATTCGTCCTCCAGCATGACAGGACGCACAATACATGCATGTGGTTGTGCCAGATGTTATACCAGTACACTAAGCCATGTGATGGGAGAAATCATGGTGTTAACCACAGAATGTTCCTCGGAAGGAAGATTCCAACCCAGCCACAGTTGGGTAGTACTGTGGTAGCACTGGGTAACGTATGTCCCCACCTATACTCAGACTAAACCTTGTACAGTACAGAACTTTTTCAGACCAGAAGTGGTGCACTTGGAGCATTGGTTTGTGCCTAACTGACTTAGCAAGAACAAATTCAGTGATAATGAAATTTCACAGATTACAGACATCTTGAAAACAGTAGAAGGAGGTTCAGTGTTATATCCCAGGACATAATTACAGCCCTGAAATATTTTCATTAAAAAAAATAAATTATGAAGAGGAATAGACAGAAACTGTTCACAGACTTGAACATCATATGAAAAGCTAACTATAAAGAAGAAACATTGCCAGCCCTCCAAAAGCAATGTATTTGTTTGAACTGGTGATTTCAGTATTTAAATTTCAAAATCCTGAAGTTTCAAAACATCTAAAACATTCATTCTGGTATGCACAAAACCTTGACTTAACCAAGAACATTATTAGGTAGCTCCATCATAATTAGCAGTATACTTTAGAAGCGTTTAAATACAGGTCACCTTGTCCTTACCAGAGATTGCTCCCAAAAGATGAAATGCAGTCTTCTAGGCAGCAAATAATTTAGGATCAAAATCTAGCAAGGAAGGACTTTGAACTGCATGCATCAAGAGGAGCAAAAAAGTATCCCCAAATCTTACCATATTGCTGAGAAGGTATTAAAGTTATGAAAACTTATTATGGGCAGAACACTGTGATCAAACACTTTAACACTCTTACATCTTTTTTTATTCCTAAAATCTGAGTTAGTTGCATGGGATATTCTACATATACAGCAACCAACCACCATACAAGAAAACGTATACCTACAACAACCAACTAACCAGAATGCTTTCTGTTTGAACTTAAAACACAATTTATGACAGACTCAGAATCTCCCTCTAAAGAAAACTGTAAAATCCATCTGTTCTGATGAACAAAAATAAATAAATAAACCCCTAAGCTTTTCCACATTCTAAGCATGTCTGTTAACTTTCTCTATTAACACTCTTTGGATAGAAATAGCATATAGAATGCGCAAGAGCTAATATTGGAAAAGCTAAAGAAAAGCTGTAATCAGATTTTGAAACAGACAATATAAAGCATTGTAATTAACTGGGTTGGAATAAAGTGGTCTTTATTAGTGCAAATGAGCTCATCTGCTCTAGGAATGAATATTTCACAATCTAATCCAGAATGTATTGACATCAGCCAAACATTTACATTTCTTCCATGGACAGATTGTTATTGACCTTGTGATGTGACATATCTACTGTCACTAAGCTACAAAATGGGAATCTCATCCTGCCTCTCCTCTTTTATATACAGAATGCAACTAATTTGTCAGCATGCCAGCTTTAACTAGCCGAGATGAAGGTAAGCTAATTTAATAGGAACTGTTCAATAGCTTCGACCCACCTGACACTGTCAGTTAAGGCAGCTCCACATTGCAGTGTCTTTCATTATTTCCAGCTCTTTCTTCAGACTACTTGAACAGCAAGTCAAATAATATGCTTAGGAGTCAATAGGCCTGACTTTTTCTCAAGGACATTCTTTTGATGCCAGGAACTGTCAAGTGGGAAAACACATAGCGTGAAGGTGAGAGGATACTAATTAAATATACATAGCTCTGGCCAAAGAAGAATGAGGCACAGCTTGCTATCTGAAAACTCAGTTGCCTGCTTGACTGAGGTCACAGCTGTTGACTTGTACAAGTTCTTAAGTTGCAGTCTCAGTATGAGACACTTTAACACTCTTAAATACTAGACAAAGGCTACTTTCAAAGATTCTGTGTACAGTTACATGTGTTTTTGTAGTTTAAAGACAGGCATAATAGAATCTTTATTTAAGTTCAGCTAAAATGAAAATGTACCTTTTTTCTATCTCTCTTTGATATATTATAGTATTTCTTGAAGCCACGGAAGAATCTATGATTGTTACAATACAATAACTATTCATTATGTCCATGCAGAAATGGACTTTTTTAAGGCTTATTTCAAAGAATAGCATTAAGTTGGCTATAGTATAAAGCAGTGAACAGGTAATGGATTTGCATACATGCATTTGGATTATTTCAGAGACATGAGCCTGCATATTCCCATCTATGCCAAACACTGCCAGGCCATGATGCTAATAAAAGCATTAGAGGGCCCAACATTTTCTTCCTTTCCCTCTGCTTCCTTTGCACTACTAATTGCTCTCATTTAGCATATATTATTTAAAAGCAAACTTTCTACTTTCCAGAGCTGGAAGTTTATTTTATTAATTTTTCCTAGAAGTGCTGTTGGACATAGCTGCATCTAAGTGTTTCATGGGGTTCCCTGAACGGTGCTACCCAGGACTCTTACATTGACATGGCTCTGTGCAGCGCTGTGCCAATGTGGCAGCGAGCATCCCATTCACGCAGTACCATAAATGAGTTAATTTACAGAGTCAGTTTATTATGACTTACTGGCTTGAGCACTCTGTCCTCTGAGCACAGCTACACTGCAGGTGGACTGGAATCTCTGGATCTGCTCCACAAGGATCGGTCTGGGAGACACTTCACGGCTGTGATGCAAGTGTGACCTTTGAGATGAACAGATATAAGCAATAGTTAAAGATCTGAAACATTTCTTACCTATCCATAAGACAAAAAATCCAAACAGAATTACTGGTATCTGTTTGCACTCTGAAAGACCACATCCAAAACCCTATCAGAAGACTATCACTTTGACCTGAAAGTTGTGGCCTTTATTTGTCTTTCCATCTTGCCAAATGCCACTCTGACATGCAGAGTCTTACTTCCACCCTGCTATGTATGACATGATTTGTGGGTGTTCAGCCTTTTACAGACACCTGGATAGACACAGCCTATAACCACAAATTCATCTGTGGTTTTGCTCACATTTTGTGCAGGAAGAAGTTGTTTTCTTAGGCAGTTTACATGTTAGGAGGACTATCCCTCCCTTCAGACTCAAGGGTAATCAAAATCCACATTATCTGTAAACGGACATATGAGGAAGCGCTCAAAACTGAGCATATATGAGAGAAAAACTATGCAAATTAACACATTTAATAGCTGCATAATTTCACACTAAAAACTAAGCATTTCAAACTCAAATTTACTATTCCTAGTACATAAATATAATGGTATACCACACTTACTCTTCATTGTTTCCAGCCTCTTGCAATTTTATCAGTCTGTGATAAAGGAGAGAATATTTTCCTAGAAACTAGAATTCTTCCTCCCAGTATTCCCTGCTGACTACACAAATAATGTTGCACGTTTAGTTTATAAGGACAACTTTTGCTTATCTGCCATTACAAAGAAGAACAGAGGAAAACAGAAGTTCCTGCTTTCTTTAGACACTGGACTTGACCTTCCTCTTCCCTCCACTAGACTGTTTTCTGGTCTGAGAGCTGTAGAATTAAATAGTCTGATAAATTACTAATACGCCATTTGACTAAGTCTCTTGGAATCTGAAAGCAATCGCAAGCTTTAAAGTTAACAGCCTTTTTGTCCAGGTTGTAAATGTATTACTCTCTGAACACATTTATATGTAGGTTGAGAGCAATATAGTTCATACTCCTTAGAAGCAACATGTAATATGCTATTGCCAAAGGCGAAATCTCCAGCAAGATTAACACATGCTTCACTAGGTCCTGTTTTTCACTTCCGTTTACCTTCGGTTGTATTTTTCACGCTTACTTGGTTAACAGTCTCTGGATATATGCATCAGTCCCTTCAGTTCAGGACTTAGCTGTCCATGGATAAGTAGGTTCCACATGTTTGAGGGATACCCAGCAACTGCCTCACCTTGCTGGATTTCAATCTATTCACACAACATTCTCACCAGTTTTACAAACATACTGAAAACAGCAGACACATCCTGCCTCATTGCAATTGCACACTTTCAAACATCTTGGGTATCACGAGGACACTCCTTTCTGAAGCAGCTGGTAAAACTAAGCTCTATGGGTTTGGTCTGGCAGCTCAAAAGAGACTTCCTCACAAATCCTTCCCCATTCACTGTGAAATTGCAACAGTGTAGTTCTACTGATTGCAGAGGAATCCCTTATATTTTCAAAAATGTAACTCCTAGCAAATTTTGTCCTTTTGGGCTTAAGCACAGAAGAAATTTGCCTGTGTTTGATAGTCTCTAACCCTTTAACACACTATGCTTCATATTCTGATATTGTGCTACAATCATGCTCCCATCCAAAATTACAAAAGAAAAAATATATGCTTTGATCTTTTTCAAAACCATGTGTTATCTCCGGAGTATTTCTGAAGCACAGTAACAGAGAGAGGAAATACAAACAGACCCATCAAGAAAACTGTAAGTGACAATAACTTGTGATAGGGGCAAACAGGATGAAGGCAAAATGTTCAAGAAAAATGGTTTGTGACTTACCATTCACCCTGAAACAATTGCAATATATTGATGGTAGATAAGACATGTGAGATACTAAGATTTCTACAAAATATTACAGCAACTTTCTACCCAAAGGCTGTTCTGTAATTAGTGCACTGGAGGCACTGACCCACTTTAAAAAACCCCAAGACCCAGGAAAAAGAGTTATTTTCCTCCTTTCATTTTGACAGGGCAGGCAGCATATCAATGTTTGTAAACTCTTATGTAAATGCACAGCACTACAAAAACTTTGTTAACAATAATCTCATTTCTGTGCACAAAATCTGGATCTTAGGAATAACTCTTTTCTAGCCACAGCGCAGAAGCATATATCCCAGTACGGCATAATAATGCAAATCTCAGAACAGCAGCTTTATTATGTCTCAGAATCTTGCAGCTTCATGAGCACAGTAAGCATATTTTCAAAAATGGCCTTACAAGTAACTGCTCCTGAAGCAATCACCAGTGCAACATACTTGGTTACCCCAGCTGATTTGTATACTACTGGCTCAGTCTGTCAGCAGTGTATGTCAAATAATGTTCTACCTGCATTTTGGAGATGGAAAAAAATCACCTTTGCCTTTTTTTTTTGTCAGTTACCAAACATTAGACCACCTCTTTCTTTTGTCTCATTTGAAAATATAAGGAAATATTGAGTGTTTTTTATGATAAATACAATTTAATGCATAGCAACAACTGAATTGGAGATAATATTCTGGATATGAGCAGGAAATGATTCACTGGCTCCACTGAATTGTTGAAAGTGTTTGACTTGCAAGTAGTGTTTATTGTGCAACAGAATGAGATTTTTATACAAGCCCTGTGCTTGTAATATTGTACTTACCCAGGTCTCATAAAGAGCACAACCATAGCAGTATGGCATGGGCAAAGAAATGAGCAAAAGAGTCTCTGTTGCTTTAAACCATGATCCTAGGGCTGCTCTAGAGGGAATCTTAGGGAAGCTATAAATTTGCCTTGTACAAGTCGTTGATCAGGAACAGATCCAGCATACAAATAATGCTTTACTATCCTCTTTTAAACTGAAATTTTAGAATGGACCATATGCTCACAGGAGCTTTATGTAAGGTTTTCTAATTTTTCTGGGTACTTGAATGTTTAGTGAAATATCTAGAATTCAGCAGTGACAAAATATTGAAGAACTCACAGGTGTCACATTTCTAGCTAACATGTTCAACTTTGGCTCGAAGTTGAATCAAGAGAATTTCCATCATCTATGTTTCTTTCATATAATCTTTCATAAAATTTGCTAGTGAGGTGCCGATTTTCAAGAACTCTAATATGCAATCACATTTGTTTCTGTTGTTTGGGGAGGGCATTGGTTTGGGGAGATTTTATTCCAAATTATGGAAAATATGAAATTATGCTATTGGTAGTGTATACATCAAGATTTAGGGTCATCTGTAGGATTAAATCAAACCTTAATTTCCAAGGTTAGGAGACATATTGTATAATAACCTATCACTGCTAAAACCAAAGAGAAAGCAGAATATCTCAGTCATTAGATTTATCTATAGCTTTTACAAATTACCATTAAAGCTTTTGCTTTATACTTTTAAACAGCAGTGAAAATTTGCATTCACACTAGTTCTTAGGAACATTACTATGTATTGTGCTAGTTTAAAGCTAGAAACTTCAAGAAGCAGACAGCTTCTAGGCTGGAGGTCATTATGTCACTTGAGCAATGTCACTTTGCACTAGGGAAAGACATTAATGACGATCTTAAGGTCCTTTGTCCTTTCCAGCCCTAACCATTCTATGATTCTATGATTTGACCTGTTCCAAACTGACATTTGTATGGAACTGAATGAAAGCAGGTTCTCAGTTCATCAAGGAAAACTGACTGCCAACAGCTGATGTGGATATAACATTTTGTTATGATCTACAAACAGACTGCCAGTACTATCCATCTGCATGAAAAACAGCACTTTCAACTCACCTCCACTACTTAGTTATAAAAATCTACAGAGTACATTATAAAGCCATTTAATCCATCTGTGGTATTTAGAGAGACTAAATATTCCACCCTACCAGCCAAATAAAAAACTCAGATGTGAAGGATTTTGAAATCATATCTGTGCTTACTACCCCAATGCTAGTCTGGTTCAGGCCATGTATTTTGTAGCACTTTTTAGATTTCAATACTAAACTTTAAATTAATGAATGAAACTAATGACATAGTTCTTCAACAAGAAGTTATAAAAGATCATGTTACATGTATTGATTTAAGAAAAGATATGATAGGGGTATATAAGATAATGAACGGTATGAATCAAAATGCACCATCTCATCATAAATAATCTGAGAGTTAATGAAAACTGGGAAGTAATTATTAAAACAGACCAATTTTTTTAATATAATACATAATTAACACATAGAACTCATTGCTTCCAGGCATCATTTAATGAAGATGTTTATGGGGCTGGGGGTTTTCAAACTTTGCGTGAGTAATAAGAAATTTCATGTATAATCCAGAAGGCACACTCTGCTCCAAGCTAAAGACCATGGATATAATTTAAAAGACAAGAATCAAGAAACAAAGCAGACACTTCAGGTTTAAAATTGACTAAACCATGGATATGCTACTGTGCACTGTATCATTAGGAGTCATGAAGAGATGCACTTAGGTAATTTATCATTGCATTAAAAATACTTAAAAGCACATTAAAACCACTTCTATTTAAGGTAGGGAGCAAAATGACAAATTATAGCTCACTCCAGAAAGCAGATTATTACAGGCTTCATGTGTCAAGACCTAGAAACACCACTGATAAAATTTCACCCTTTCTGTCTGAAATACGGCACGTTAGAAAGCACTAAGAGGAACTCAAACAAGATCAGATCAAAGAGCCCTCAACAGCAACAACCTGTCTGTCTCTGTGTGGAAAAATTTATGGAAAAATTTAGGAATAGGACAACTCCCATTTGCATGGAAAAGTTACCATCATCCATCAGTTCGAAGCTAAAAGGTTTCCTGAATTCCTGAGGTTTTTATCTATCTGGGAAACCTGCATAAACTTTCCCTGCAGGCAACTTTCAAGCATCTTCTGGAATCCATGTATACTTTACCTATACATACCATAATAGTAAACAAAAGATTGCTTTTTAAGAGAAAGATCCTTTTCTATGCACAGATCTTTCCATTTAACTACA